AAAAAGAGAGAAGACCGAGAGAGAGGGAGAGAGAGAGAGAAAGAATGAGAGAGAGAAGACCGAGAGAGAGAGAAAAAAAAAGAGAGAAGACCGAGAGAGAGAGAGAGAGAGAAAAAGAGAGAAGACCGAGAGAGAGATAGAATATAAAAAAACAAACAGAGAGAGACAGAGAAGAGGAAAAAAGAGACAAAAAAAAGAGAAAGAGCGAAAAAAAACACAAAAACAAAAACCAGAGACAGAGAGAGACAGAGAGAATAAACCAAAGGAAGAAATTAAACACACAGAGACCTCGCAAATCCTCAACCTAATCCGTATAATCATTTGCATAGTATTCCCGTCTCGCACCTCCCGTCCTCATCAGAATATACACCCCTTATTAAGGTCCGTCGTTGGAGCGTCGGCCTCGGCACGTCATTCTGCCTCCGGAATAAGTTATATAATTTAGCTCCACGTCGCGGCTCCAAAATGAAAATGAAATGGAAAGATTAAATGAAATGAAAAGATAGATAAAATAAATGAAAAAAGGATAGATAGGTAAATAGATAGGTTAATTAGTAGGCAGATAAATAGATGGATGAATAGGTTAGTATGTGGATGAATAGATAAATGAGTGAGGAAATGAATGAATGAATGAATTAATGATGAGATGAATGAATGAATAAGTAAATAAATGACAGAATAAATAGATGGATAAATAAATAAATGAATAAGTAGGTAAATACAAACAAAATAACGTAAACAGAAATACAAATAAAATAACGTAAACAGAAATACAAATAAAATAACGTAAACAGAAATACAAATAAAATAACATAAACAGTAATACAAATAAAATAACGTAAACAGAAATACAACGAAAAAAAAATAAAACACGAAATGCGCAGTTTATTCACAGCGGTTCCTGTGACGTAAAAGCAGGGTTAATTCGGGCTTTAGCCCTTCATGGCGGAGATTTGGCTAGGGTTAATCAAAGACTCGGGCATCATGCACTAGAAAGGAACATGGATTAACTGAAGGTTGGCCGGGGGCTGGGCTGGGTCAGGTGCGAGGGGGGGAGGGGGGAGGGGGGAAGCTGCTCCTTTTCAAAGCCTGGGTGAGAGGGAGGGCGGGCGGAGGGAGGGAAAGGGAGAAAGGGAGGGAGAGGGAGAAAGGGAGGGAAAGAGGGAGGGATAAAGGAAGGGAAAGGGAAAGAGGGATAGAGGGGGGAGAGGGAAGGGGAGGGGGACATATATATATATATATATATATATATATATATATATATATATATATATATATATATATATATATATTTTTTTTTTTTTTTTTTTTTTTTTTTTTTTTAACAGCCATTCATTCCACTGCAGGACATAGGCCTCTCTCAAATCACTATTGAGAGGTTATATGGCAGTGTCACCATTGCCTGATTGAATGCCCTTCCTAATCAACCGCGGTTCGGCGCGTTAACACTTGTGCCACGGCGGTGACTTCCCCTACGACACCTGCGTTTGACTCCTCAAGGCGATATGTCGTTTTCTCAGGCTCGAGTTAGCAATCAGAGCGCAGGCATTTTTAACAACTGCCGCGACGGGGAATTGAACCCGGGACCACGAGGGTCGGAGTCCAGTGCTCTAACCACTGAGCTATCGCGGCAGTGTACATATATATATATATATATATATATATATATATATATATAGAGAGAGAGAGAGAGAGAGAGAGAGAGAGAGAGAGAGAGAGAGAGAGAGAGAAAGAGAGAGAGAGAGAGAGAGAGAGAGAGAGAGAGAGAGAGAGAGAGAGAGAGAGAGAGAGAGAGAGAGACAGACAGACAGACAGACAGACAGACAGACAGAGACAGAGAGAAAGAAAGAAAGAAAGAAAAAGAGAGAAAGCGAAAATACATATATGTAAGGATATACGTATGCCTCTGTCCGTGTGTAGGAGAGCACAAGGACCATAGTATTGGCCCATTCCTCCGAGCCATCATCAATCTCCGTTATCTCCTCTATCAATCTCACCCTCTCTGCCTTATCTATCAGAGAGAGAGCTGTCTACTTTATGAGGATTTCCCGCTACTCTCTAGACATTGGGGGAACGTCCGAAGAATTTTAACGAAAATGATATTACAACCCATGTGTTATTTTTATTATTATTTGAACGAATCAATTGCAGCTTCCCTTTTTGCATTGTCTCTTCTCGATAATTTTGCATCTCTTGTCTTATCTATCATGAAAAAAAAAGATATCTTGCCCTCGATAGCTTATCTTTTTTTTCATCATGGATCCGGTTGCTATCGATGTAATAACTATCTTCTCATAAAAAAGACAAATATATAACAATGAGAATTTTAGTAACGATGGTGATAATGTTAAAAGATAATATGATGGTGATGATGATGATGATAATAATAGTGATAATGATGATTGTAATAATGATAATGATAATATCATAACAATACTTATAATAATGATGATGATAATGATAATGATAATAACAATAATAATAATAATAATAATAATAA